TAATTGAGTCTACTGACTAGCAGATGAATCAAGGAGAAATCCCCCTTGTGACAGTATCTAAATAATTCAGAAAACAATTTATTAATATTTATTTTGAATTTATGATTATTAATTTCAAGGAAGATTTTTGTTATACAGTAGAAATTCTATGGGGTAGAAAAAATAGGTTAGATTAGGCAAAGAGAAATTATTCTTATGAATGTATATTAACTCCTCTTCATTTTTATTATTGGCTGTTGTGACATTTTACAGAAAATGGGATTCTCTCAGGTTTTTTAAAGATGTTGATATAAAAGACTGTTCCCATACCTGAAAGTGCACAGGGTTTAGTTCCACAAATACTGTTAAGTTTAATGAGAGCTGCTCATAGCAAATGCATTTTAAGTTACATTTTCGTACTTGGTAGGAGATGGGATTAAGATTCATTAAGACTTTTTGACTTTGGTTAATGCTGTAACTTTACACTGCTTATTTAAGACTTAGATAACAATAGTTTGTCTTTCCGCATAAAGAGAATTAAGAGTAGTTTAAACCTTTTGCAATTCTCCATAATTTCAGATTGATTTGGAGCAGTATAAAAAAGCATTGATGGATGCAGGTTGTAATCTTGCTCCTTTGAGCTACATAAAACAATGGAAGTAAGTAATGTCTTTTTTCTCCTATATGAGGCTATAACCGGGTAATATTACAGAACTCAGTATTGTTATCAAAGAATTATATGTTATTCTCATACATCGTAAATTGTCCTTAAATATCTGTTCTGGCAGGTTTTTTTGCTGTCATTGTTATGGTAATATGTGCAAATTGTATTTTAAAACTAAACTCCAGGAATGCCAGAACACTACTGAACATGACCATAGTAATGTACTTAATGATCCAAGACAGAAGCAACTCACTGAATTAAATTAAAAGTTGTGCTAGTTCAGACTCCACATATTTTTGTTCATACCAAAGGGCTATGCTGCCTATCAGTTATTCTGTTTTACATGGTATCAAAATTGTCTTTGTTTTTCAAGTATCAAATCTAATTCTTTTCAGTTCCTTAACTGCTGTATTTCTAGACAAGAGGGATGCATGTAATAAATAGTTACTTCCTGCAAGAGTTTGAGAAGCAGAACTTTTTCACTTTCAGATGACCTGAGTGGAACATTCTACAGCAGTATGTGCCATGAGATAAGCATTTGATTTCTATCCCTGCTTTCACAGGGCTTTCACTAAGATGGCTTCAGCTCCAACCAGCTATGGAAACGCCACGCCTAAACCTTTGGGGTATGCTCTTGATTAATTTTCTGTAAGCCTTTGAGTTCTTTTAGCTTATTTTAGTAGTACTGAAAATGTGATTAATTAGTGCTGTGCAAGGCCCAGGATAAAACATTTCCCTGTTTGTAAAAAGTTTTAAGCTACAGGCAATTACAAGCATTCATCTCCCCTTAACCATGCATAGGACTTACACACAGGAAAATAAAAGGATCTGTGACTAAATTCACAAAGTAACTTAATATAGTGATGTCTGCACCTGCATATTAAATGTACTCTCACATGGGAAGAATTTGGCACCAGGACATGGATCTATGACAGCCATTATTTTGAGCCTTATGTAGTCAGTAACTAAAGATAAGAACAGCCCTGTGCGTTCAAAATTTATTCTGGCCAGGGCTTGGAGACTGCCAGAGATGCAAGAACACACTGCTTTTTCATTAGGATGTCCTGGACTAGGTGTCTGCCCGCTTGTTGAAAGGTATAGTCATTTGTTTCAAGACATGAAAAGAAAAGATGACTGTGATAAGAAAACATATATCCTGTACAGGATATGGGACTTGGGTCTTTCCATGCTTGAGAGGATTTGAATCCTCATTACCAACTTTACTTTCAGGAATGCACTATCACTGTTAAAAGGAAGCTGTGGCACAGTATGGTTAGAGAGAATTCCAGTGCCGTCTCACTTGGAAAAATTACTGGTTGGTTGGTTGGAGACACTGAGCATCTCTAGTAACTCTGGTCATTAGGACACCCGGCCACTTGAAAGGAGCACTCAAATCCTTGTATAACTGACCTTATAAAATAAACTGTTCGATGGATTAAAGACTAGAACTCAAGAATCCTATTGATAGTGAGGATCTGACTGCTAGATTATAGGTGTATTCCCATACACTTGGTTGCCATGTGGTTTGAAGAATGTATTTCATGACAGATTGAATGACTTGGTACTCAAGTCCCATCAATGTTAATGGGAATTGGATGTCATCATAAAGTTTAAGAATGCCAGTTAAAAAAATAAGGTCTTACACATCATCTTGATTTTGTTTTTCAGTCTGTTTTCACGTGTTATGAATACAGGATCACAGTTTGTAATGGAAGGAGTGAAGAACTTGGTACTGAAGCAACAAGTAAGTTTAAAAACCAATTAAAACCAAAAGTCTATCACATGAGCATTGTGAACATTTAGAAAAACAACTTTCAGTACCTCTGTCTTATTAATAAAATTAGCTTTACAGTAAAAAACCAAAACATCAACCTTTGCTGGTGGATAGATCTATCACTTTGTAGCTTTGAGTTTTTAGACAAGTAAGGAATAATGTTCAGATTTTCTTTGAATACCTCCATACCTCCGTAAGGAATAATGTTCAGATTTTCTTTGAATTCCTCCAAGGAATTGAATTCTAGTATGTGTGATTAAGACTGATTTCAGCATTATAAAAAGAACAGCTATGGAATACTCAAAACAGTCTAGACCTTCATAAACAAAAAACCCCCTCTGTGTCTTTACTTAGAACAGCATGTATTAAATGCATCTATTCCAGAGTGATTGAAAGGCTGAAAGTGTTCATTCTCTGTTCAGTTACAATTCAAGCGTTTTAGTTTTGCCACGTAAGTAATGTACAGCAACGATAATCTTGAAATGTACTTGAAAATCAAAGTGTGTTTATAATGATACAGCCACCTTCAAATATTCACTTAACTTTAGAAAATATTTCTGAGAATAATGTGCATGCAGATTTCAGTGTAACCTCCAAAAGAAAAGAAAACAACAAAAAAAAACCCACTGGTTGTAGAACTCACTATAGCTGAAATGTTGAATTATAGTTCCAGAAACTTGCTTCCCTGTAGAGAATGTATTGTTTTCTCCAATATGCACTTTCATCAGATAGCAATAAATAAATACAGTTTAAAAAATCTCAGTTCTGTAATGTTTTGACATCAAGATTTCTAAGAAAAAGATAATTCATCATACTATAATTCTTAGTGGAAGAATCCAAATTTAATTTAGAAATACAGCATATCAGAACTAAATAAAATGAAATCTCACTATGCGCATCTTTTTGACAAAGCTAATGTTATGATAGCCGTTGTTTGTTTGGGCATCCTGTTATACACATAATTTATGCATTAAAAGTATCAGCTATCACATAAAAGTTTTTAAAACTTGTGTCTGTGGCTTTTGTAGAATAGCCAATTAAATTAATTCTGTGGGAATTTCACTGTGCTTAAATGTGATAAGTTGCATTTCACAGTTAGAGATCGCTGGTCTGTCATGAAATATAGTTGAGGAAACTTATATTTACAGCTTGCCTATATGTTATATTTTATAGAGACATCGTCAGATAAATTGTTACTTGTAACAATAGATAATGTAGTCTAAATGAGACTTCCTATTCTTCTTGTATTAAACATTTTATCATTTCTTTTTAAATGTGTGGCTTTAAAATTCAGTATTCTTGACAGACTGGCTTGCTTTGTTTTGGGTTCTAAGTGAGTAAGAAGTCACAATGCCAATGTTTTCAGGATTTTTTTTTTTTCTGGCTTTTAAATCGTCCTCCAGGTCTTTTGGGGTAGCCAAATAAAATCCTGTTCTTCCTCGTATTTTTAAGCCTGGTATAGGTCTGTGGTATTTCCATTAAAGCTAACTTTTTGTTTCTCATTCGGTCATTCCGGGATTTACGTTGTTTTTTTACTAAGTGTTTTTCAGTGTTATTTGTAGCTCATCCTTTGGAATGTCCTTTTTTGATATATTCTGTCAACAAGACACATTTCCAGTTCTGTTGCTATGTAAACTCTCCTTCAGTTTATTATAACTAAAGTGGTTTGACTGTTTTAATACTTCAGATCTTTTGTCCAAGCTAACATTTCTCATCTTAAATAAGTAAAAGTCATCTTGAATCTCGCCCCAGTTTATTCCTTTTCAGTTCATCCAAACATTTGTTTGGATGGTTTTTTTACCCATTTCTTTGACCACATTAGTTCTTTTTTATAATCACACCCTTAATTCTCATCTTCAGATTTAAAATTCTTACCTTAAACTGCAAAGTATTTTTCTAGTAAGTTTTGATACATCATCACATGTCTGCATATAATACCTAAATACAACTCTGTTCCTATCTTCACACTTTTATTTGCACTTTCTGTTCATCCCCTAGCAAGATGCTCCTCAGGTGTTTGCATTTTCTTTACAGAAAAGTAACTTAGGTGATGATAAAAATGCTCAGACTTTCCAAAATATAAGGGGAAAGCTGTTTAAACTAGTATTTCAAATGCCCTGTAAACTGTTCCATAAATGTGTGCCTGTGAATAATTCTTAGTAAGCATTTCATCATTCCGTTAATTTCACGTTTTACAGAATCTACCAGTCACACGTATATTGGACAACCTTATGGAAATGAAGTCAAACCCTGTGAGTATAACTGCCTTCACATGAAAGGAGGTGGAACAAATGAAATCTTGAGGTTGTGATATGTAATATGCCATGGATTTTTTTCTTCATGGTAATGGAGTTAAATCTAATCATGCTGTTTCCCAAGAACAGAACCATTTTCATAAGATTTTTTGGATGAAAATATTTTCTAAACAATGACAATTTATTATTGGAACTAATGTTTTTGAGTGTTTTGTCTATTCTGAGTTTCTGTTATTCTTGTGCTATACTGAGTTTCTGTTGTTCCTGAATTTCTAAAAGTTAAACTGCGGGCTGAAATTTTCTTTACATCAATGTGATTTTTTTTTTAAAGAGCACAATTTCAGAAGTAAAATAGTTACAGAGAGGTGTGTTAAAGGAAATTTTTCTTCCCACGTCTTTAAAGCTTTGCTATTTACAGGAACATATTTTAGTACTCATGAAGTCTTTCAGTTTGCAAAGCAGAGTTGGTTTTGTGTCAGAAAAGTCCTCTGTTTCTGTGAAAATTTACTCAGACTTACATGTTACAAACTTTTGAAACACTTAAATGTTAACTAGATAGTCAAGACATTTGCTAGAATTTATGGCTAAAAATAACCATAAGTCTTTTTATACATAGTGTGTAGTCAAAGTAGCCTTTTTTTCTTGCTGTGTACCTCCTTCCTGCAGAACTCATTACATAAAATGAGTGTGCACAAACTTGTTTGGAAAAAAAAAATATCAGGTGTTAAAAGTCATTTAGAAAGCTGTAATATGTTTGCCACAGCATATCAGTCTTCCTTTTTTAATGACATCATTGTCAGGCAGAGAGATACAATTGAATTATTTCACACTGGTTACTAGATTAAAACATTCTTCTTAGTCCATTTTCACCTTCAAGTATTAGCTATATGTAAAGAGATAAATAATGGTAAAATATGAAAATTATTAACATGCAAGTAATCCTGTCTTTTCTTAAACTATACTTCATAGATGCTGTATGTCATGGTTGTTAGCAAAAAATTTGCTTTAACAGACAAAGAAATTTACAGCTTTCAGTGGCAGTGGATTGTTGTCCCTATTTGCAAGACAGAGATGATGTACAGGGCTAATTTCATCTAATCAACCAGTAGAGGTCACTCAGAACACTTAATACAGAAAGGTGAAATTAAAAACTACAGATAACTTACAAGTAGGTGAAAAATGAAACAATTTTTTAAAAAATAAGCACTAGCCTCTTCAAGCTAAAAGTTTAGGAATTGATTTGGAAAAGTTTACAAGACATATGGGGGTTTTTTTGCTGACGGGATATTGTCACTTTTCACTTAGTAGAAAACAGCCAGGATCACTTTGATAATTTAGAGAAAACATTGATCTGCTCACTTGAAAAAGCAGAGATTGAGCCAATCTGCCAGTGGCTTCATGTTTCACTTGCCATGTCAGGGACTAGAATTCATGGCTCAAAACAAGGAGTCCTACTTTTCAAGTCATGGGAAACCAGGCAAGCTGTAAAGAATGATTCTCCTAACCTGCAGGAGAATTGACAGCAACTTCTTGAGTAAGTTTCAGCTAACAGAAGCAAGCCAGAGAGTCATTGTGGAGTATGCTTAGACTTGCTGTACCATCAACAGAAGTGAAATTGTATCTGGAAAAGGTCAATGTGTAAAAATACACCACTGTGGCCTGTGTTTATCTTCTGATGTTTGAGATCCTCTTCTAATCCCCAGAATAGGAAACTGTTGCACTGCCGGCAAAATACAAAGGGAGGGGAAAAAAAGCTTGACATTTTATTTTTTTACAACACACAAAAAAAATCTCCTTTATAGTTCATTGAACATTACTAGCCACAGTGATTATTGTGTGAAATACGTATACAGATAAAAGTTGTAATGCAAAATTACAACAGATTGTTGAGAAGTCAATTATTACAATGAATGTAAATAAATTACTTTCTAAATATAAAATGCAACAGTAAGTATGTGAACTATATAACTTGTAACCACCAACATTCACAAATATTATTGTCAGTTGAAATTTTAAACCTATTCAGAATCTATATGCTGTGCAAAACTGTAGGGTTGTCTGTAAATCTCTTTCTATGTTACTTGTCCCTGCTCCTGCTTTTGTCTTAGAAGGATAAATGAGTCTACACATTTGATTTCCAACTTTTTCGGAAACAGGAACAGACAGACCAGTTCTTATGGACAGTAATACCATCCTGTAATTTTTTTAATTTGTCTAGATTGTTTAACCTGTAGTTACACTTCTTGAAATACTTATTCAACAACATTCATTGATGACCTTAAAGTAATCCGTTACTTGGTTTTTTTCATAGTAACATTTATTGGTCAAAGCAGGTTTTTAAGCAATTGCTTTGGGGACTGTGTTTTTGTAAAGCAATGTTCTGCTCATAAATCTAATAGCATAGTTGCTTTATTTTGGTATCATTAAATAGAGATTGATTAAAGCCATAAACCTTTCTAACACAAAAAAAAATATTGCCAAGTATATGCAAATTTTAACCCAAACCCATGAAATTGACCACCACTTGCTATAGAAAGATGGATGTTCTTTTAAGTATCTTCCACAAAGTACTGTGATTCTGTAGTAAGGAAAATCTTTGATAGGTAAACGTTTAATATTTTTATGACAGAGGCCCGAAGGGGTTTAGCCTCTGTCAGTACAGTATGTACATTTGTATTGACTGAAGAGGTAGATAAATCTTATTTGTAATATATATGAATGGAACTGTATTTTAGTTAATATCATCCCTTTCAGTGAATATGGTATCTTTCCGGTTTAGGATATACTGTATGATTACCTTCCATGCATTACAATTAAAATTCTAAAAATGGGGGATTTCCTTAATCCAAACTAGTCACATTAGCTTCTACAAAAAAACAAATAAAGACTGAAAGACAAGGGTATTTTCATGGGTCTTTTTCCATTTTAATTTTAAATCTTGAAAAATAGGTTTAAAATTTCAAAACTATAAATTTTATCCTTGAATTGCTTAGGGAAGTCACAAATTCAGTCGTGTCTAAGGAAACCGCTTTACAGTTGTTTTTATTGGTAGACTAGCTATTTCTTAAAGCAAATAAAATCTAGTAGGGTTTCTTTCCCTGCACCCTCAGAACTGATTTCAGCAGGAATGGTGTATTTAAACAACAAAAAAAATAAACTAGCTTATCACATTTCTGTTACTTTACCACTTTTTGTGTGTCTACTTACACAAGCCCACAGCGAAAAAACACAGCAGTAATACATTCAGGAGGAAATGTTTGTGATGATACTGTTTTTTTAACTCTTGATTTTAGTTCTGGCGTTAATCTGTAATTAATTCTAACAAGCAGGGAAGCTGCAGCTCTTTGTCTGAGATAGAGGTTTTTCAAATACCAGTTTTAGTCTAGCAGTATCCATTCCCATCTTTCTCATTACTTCAAAGTTGCTATACCACCTTTATATACAAGGCTGCCAAAATCATGAATGCTGGCAGACTTTACAAATGCAGTTGAAATTCCCGGTGGAGCATATAAAAGCATTTTACAGAGGTTCAGTGTGAAATGAGATCTAAATTAAATTTTTTTAAAAGCCAGATTTGAGGATAAGAGACGTATTTTCTGTCATTACGTTAAAGTCCTTATTATCAAACAGATTTATTTTCTGTGTGTGTAACCACCACATGTATATTAAATATTTTGTAGTATTTGAGATAGTCATGCTTTGTGAGCTCTAAGAAATTCCCCAGATAATGTCTATTACTCAAGAATTATTTCTGCTCTACAGAATCATCAAAACAAGATGCATGTAAGCACCCAGATGAAATCAACTGTAGTCCTGCCCACAGTTTATCCACAAACTAAACTTCATAGTACCTGGATGAAAATGTAGTATAGAAACAGAAGAAAGCCAACTAGTTGTCAGAAGGAGTTACTAGGAAGTTCTGTTTTCCATCCATAATAATTGGTAAAAATCCTGCCTGTTGCCAATAAAAATATTGGAAATGCCTCAGTGTTCTGTGTGAAGAAAAAATTTTTTTGTATAGTTTAGACAGACTTATTAAATCCTTGTGGAACTCATTTCTTTTTCAAGAGCTTAATTTTGGTTTAATAGTAGTCATAAATCATGAAACAAAAAGGGTAAGTTACATAACAGTAGCAGATTTTGATCTATCATGTATTTAGTATTCATTGCCATAGAAGTGCTTTGTTTTATATTAAATCAATAGCAGATTTCTGTAACCTGGAAAATTTTAGCATTTATAACTAACTATGTGATGTTCCTCTAAAGCTGGTGACACCTTAATTTTTCTTTCTGCATACTGCCTTTCTGTTGGGACTTATTATGCAACCAGCATATTTTTTGGAAAGTGTGTAACAGTCAATTTTAGATGAACCAGATACAAAAACCTCAATAGCAGCCTTCATAGCTTTCTGACTGATGTTTATTCTGTACCAGTTCAGTTATGTACAAATACTGTAAATATTAGTGGACAGCACAATTAATTTTGAATTATGTGACTGCTAAATGAGAAATGATGTTGTTTTGAATGGTGTTTAATGTAATAGATACAAGGAGAAATCATAAGCCAAAATTCCCATCTTTTGAGATAAAAACGTACTTTTTAACAGGAGACAGATGACTACCGGTATTTTGATCCCAAGATGCTACGAGGCAGTGACAGGTGAGTTTACTATGAGTTTTGCTTGTTTTCTTGTACCCTCTGAAAAGGCTAACTTAAGAAATCTGGTTTTATTTTACCTCTGACTACAAGTACTTTATTTTAATCATTAAGTCAAGACAGTTGGTGTTGAAGGAATTCACAACAGGAACTTGGATCAACCAGATAAATTTTTATAACACTACAAAAAAAAAATCTTTTGTTCTACTGGCTGAACATGCTGCTAACACGTACATCGGTTCAGTCACAGGAATGCGTGCTAATATTTAGCAAAAATAAATGTTAGAATTCTTTATAGCTGTACTGCTTGGTTTCTTTGAAACTTTCTGGATTTTCACTGTCAAATTAAGAGGTCATCACACAGTGCACCAAAATTTCATCACTTTTTAAACAGTTAAAATTTTACATTGCTACAAAGTTAACAGCGAAAAAAAATCATTAAAAATTGACTGCATTTGCTCTTGTGTAGGCAGGTGCACATTTTATATTCGTGTGCATCTGAAGGGAGGGATATAGTTTATTTTGCGAATAAAAGAGAAGAGGAGGAATTCCACTAGAATTTTACAAATTTATATCTCTTGCTTTATGTCATCAACCAATAACTGTAACTGATAATCTCACTTACAATATCCTAGAAATGGAGAAGCTACTTAATTGACAGTATTTTATGTTTCTTGTTAATTACAACTTTCATTGTTTTGTTAATTTTTGGAGGATTCTGTGCAAAGATTTTTTTTAAGCCAGCGGGTTTTCACATAAACGTGCAATTTTACCCATATTTTACTCCATCTAACTCTTCTCTTGCTTTAAACAATGTAAAGATAGGCATTTAGAGCAGTTCATCAACATGCCATTCTGTGTAGCTGTAATAATCATCATAAGGAAAAACAATTTCTGGTTCAAGGTTTGTTGGGGTTTTGTACGTAAACTCAAATTATACTCCTTAAATCATATTTGAGCATGGCAACAAAACTACTCTAGCCATATATGGGTTTATCTAATTCTCCCTTCAAATATTTATATAGATGATAAAAAAACCATAGGTTTGACAAAAGGCTTGACAAAATATTACTAGTTAATAATAACAATATCAAATAGTATAGTTAATGGAATGATATTTTTTAAATACTGTTGGGGTTTTTTTCTAACCTACTCCTGTTTTAAGAAATACTGGCATTTCTGTTACTTTTTAAATAGAGTAGGAACTGCATTGCTGTAATTCAGTCTTAGCAAAACAGTATCTTCACATTCTGTGTAAAGCCTGTCAAGTATAAACAGACCTTGCCCTCTGGAAGGATGACAAAATATATGTGGATTTGTCATATCATATCCAAATCACAAAAGAATTGGGCTAAATTTTCTCCTTATGGGGAGTCTGTGAGAGCCATTCCCTCTTAAAACCTGTTTTTTCTGATACACTGGAATCTGTGGTCAACTGTTATTTTTTACTCAGAAAACTTGAAATAAGGGAAAAGGTAAGTTGAAGCAAAAGATGCAGTGCTTTTAATCTGTTAGAACATAAGAAGTATTTGGCTACCTAGGGCTGCAGGCCGGTACAGGGCAGGAAGGTAGTGGTAGTGTGTGAGCAAAGGATGAGAGAGCAGACTGACCCTTCAGAACTTTCTCTTTGCTTTTTCCCTTCCTCCTGAAGGTGCAAGGTGATGCAGGAAAAGAGGTTTTTCCCTCTCTGCCTGCTACTTCCCTGTGGCTAGGACTGTGTCTTCAGATGGAGAAGAGTTTGTACCACCTGAACTGTAACTTAACCTCTTCCTCCTTAAATCATTTTAATCCTAATGTTGTTGCAGAACACATACCTGCTGCCTATGGTAGCTTTTGTGATTTTGAAGCCTCACTGGGTATATGTGCAGGCACTGCAAACTGAGGGGCTTACCTAGTTAAGATTCCAGTAGGCAGGACTTGCGTCATGAACTGTGCTAATGCTGATGAAATATTTTACTCACTGTATTTGCTCCTAGCTAGCAGCAATATAGTTAGAACTTCTAAACTCTAAAAGAAGTGTTGTCATAAAGCTTATGATTCAGACAGCAACCTTAAAACTGATGAAGTTAAATTCCTATTTGCTCATGTTTTGAGTCCTGAAGATGATTTTTCCATAACAAATCATTTAAATAAAATACCTGGAGAATGAATGCAGAAAAGCAATTACTGTTCTATTTTATATCTTTGTCTAACATTATATAGTATTCCATAAACATGATACTTACTTCGTGTATTTATATTAATGTCTAATAAAATTTAAGTTGTCGTTTGTTTGTGTTTCTTTTTATAGTTCAGTTCCAAGAAACAAAAATCCATTCCAAGAGGTAAGTCACGTAGAAATTATTTTTCAATGTTCCTGTGTTTAAAAAGAAAAAAAAAAAATCCTGAAGTACCAGTCATTTTTGAGGATCATGATTAGGAAAACAAGGGGTCATGTTTGCAGAAACCATTTAGACTAATTATATCTAGCATTAATTACAATTAGCTGTTACTTTGAAGAAGTCTTTTCATCTTCAAAAGACTATGTAAGCATTAACTAATACTGGGGAAAAAAATCTAGAAAATTCTTGTGAAGGTAATTACAGGGATTTATTAATATCCTAATTGGATACTCAGCAATTTAAACCCCCTGTTTTCATACCAGACCTTTAGAATGCTCTCTAAATTTAATCCTTTGTTCAGCCTTAAACAGCAGTGTTGACCACTAATTTAAGTGACAGGATTTTAAACAGTCTCTGCAATTAAAGGAGAAAAGCAAAACAACAAATGTTGTCATTTTATACAAATGCCAATAGCTTTCAGTATTTTTCAAGATAAATATTTGCAAATAATAAAGTCTTACTTCTATGATCTTACTTCCTAGTTTCATAAGCAAATTCTTTGCATTGGCAATATACATATGTCTCAGATTTCTCCTGAAATGTCCTGATTATCCTCCTGAACAAAAGAAATACCATATGATGTCATATATATGACTAGCAGATGGTCATAGCAAAAATACCAGTAGTAACATAAAGTCTATATAAAATTGGTATCGCGTAGTCAAACAATTTTGGATAGTGAATGTTAACAAAAGTTACGCAACTCCAAAGTCTCCTTTTTCTATTCATTAATTGTTCTCTTTTAAACATAGCCCAGAAAATACTGATGGCCTTTACCTGTAATATTAGATTATTACCAGTAGTAAGCAGGAGGTGGAAAAACAATAACAAAGTGTATTCCTTTATAACAGAAGTATTTTGTGTCCCAAACTAATTCTTAAACATCCATGGAAAAATTTTTACTGTTGCTATGGACACTGGAGACATCTCTGCACAAAATGTAACATGTTGAAACTGCTTACGTTTCAAGTATTCCTTATTAGAATATAGTGACATGTTAAAAGCTCTCAGTTTGCTATTCTGCATCCTACTAAAACTCTTCTATTATCTTTCAGGTAGGAAGCTAATGGTTCTGTGTCCAGTTCTTATTATACTGCAGTGTGATTAGGATTATTTTTGCTGTAGATTTAATGATTTGATACATATTTTACTACTGAAATACTAAGAATTTGAATGCATCTTCTGATTATGTGTGTGTTACCTTCTAGGCGATAGTGTTTGTAGTTGGAGGAGGCAACTATATTGAATATCAAAATCTTATCGACTACATAAAGGTATGTGCACTTCTGTCAGCTGTAGTCTATAACTTACTGACAGAAACAGTTTTAGCAGGTTTTCTTTAACGTTTAGTATTAAGAAGATTAAGTCTGTGAAATTAGCCTTACCATCCACGTTATATACAGAGTCAGGGGGAATAAAGTATGTAAGAAATCAGTAGAAAGTGTGGATTATTAATTCACACCAATAAAGAGTTAACTGTTTCTGGTGGATTTGCGCATGTTGCACTTTTGAATTGAGTAAATAAACGGCATTCTGCTTTATTTTGTCTTCATACACACTTAACATGGTTGAAAATTGTCAACAGATAGAGCTGACTGAATTAACCTGTCTTCTGTATTGATACATCAAATGCTGTCAGTTCGGCTGTTCATACTGTTTTAGAATTCTGTTACTAGTTTTTGTTTGCCATTGTTAAATAAAGCAGCTCGAGCATATCATTGCCTTGAAGGTGAGGAACTACTCATAATTGTCTAGTTTTCATAGATCTTGCAAGAGATACCTTTTACATACGTAACTTAGCAATATGAAATCAGTTCAAAACAAGGCCTACAGATAACAGTATCTTAGTTTACAACAATCTTACTTGAGCCTATTGTCTGTTGTTTTCAGAAGCCAGGGTAATGCAAATACTATGCAGCCTGTCAGAGCAGAGATCATATTGGCATCAATAACTGACCGTTTATTATTTTCCCACATTTAGAAGGTTTTGCTAATGAGTTAGCTCATTCTTGATGTGCTGCACCATTTGATTCTGCATAGAAATCATAAGAGGTGTTACATGCACAGAGAAAATACATAAACAACTATGTAATGCTAGTGTAACAGACTTAATTTCTCTGGTTCCAGCTGGCCAGCCTAGCAGAACACACGTACACCAAAAAATCAGTGGATGGAGAAAAGTAACATCATTAGGGTTCTTGAGGGGCAGGGGTGGGATTCAAGCATTTTCCAGGAATAAGAAATTACAAAAGGAACCTTGATAAAATTTTGAAGCAGGTAATAAATTATTTAAGAGCAGCAGCACACCAGTCTTCCTTCCTGATCTTAACCTTGTTCATGCTACAATCGTCCTGTCCTGTGATGGACTGGATTGAGGCTTTTCACAGAAAAGAATAAATATGGAGCCTTAGTCACTGAAAAACACTCTTCCACAAAACAAGTACATGAGAGTTTAATGTCCAGGTAAATCTTAAAGAATACAAAGTCAGAACATGTGTGCCAAGTTGTTTTCTCCCTCTAACAAGCAGTCATTTTGGAACAGAGCTGGTCTGGATAGGGGAAAGGATAAGAAGAGGAATATAAGTTAAAAAGAAATTATTTGGGCTCAGCTTAGCACTTACCACTCTTTATAACTAATTATAGCATTCAGTGGGGCATCTGCCTGTAGCAGAGTGCATTGTTAAATTTCGGCTTACTCCTTAGTTTACCCAAAGCCACTTCAAGTGCCATATCAATTCAAAAGATGCCCAGCAACATGCAGGTTTGTTACTTCCTACTAAAATAAAACTGTGAATCCCCTCCCCTAGAGGCTAATACACTTCTCTGATACGTAGCTGCCTGCTGTCAGAGCTGAGGTTTGCTCTCTATGCGTATACATATATATGTGTATACACAGAGCATTTGCATGACAACAAACACTCAGTGCTTCATACAAGGTGGCAGGAAGCTGAAGTTTGAGAAATAAGAAGGCAAATGGGAGGTCATTTGATAAACAGATGGAGAGGACAGAAGTAACTGAAAACTACAGGAACGGTAATGTTAGATCTCTTGGAGAGTTAGAATTAGGACGTAGTTTTTCTTCTGGAACCTGTGGGCAGAGGTTTCTGCATCATCAGTTTTCACAGCTGAAGAGTGCTGTATGGTTCTCCAATCAGACTGCATACTTGGTCAGCGGGAGGTGATTTCCCAAGGGGGAAGACTCCCTCACCATTATTCTGCTTAGCCATTTGCTCTGGAAAAAACAAGAAAGGTTAATGAAAGGCTTAATTCCACCTTCCACCCCCCAGAGATTTTTCTGCCTTTCCCAGGTGACTTTTACTGGCTTATGCAATAAAATTTGCTTTGCCATGCAGTACACTTCCAGCATCTGTTGTTTCAACAGATGTAGCTTACTAATTATTCTAATATTCAATCAGTCTTCTCCAGAATATAAAAGGAGAAAAATCAACAGCTCTGTTCTTGCAAGCAGATACCACAAAGATTTTATTCACTGCTTTATTTTTCTAAGCACTATCTGTTTTGCCAGTTTGACTCTGAAAGCACAGAGAAAGTATTTTAAAACTTTCTAAAACAGGAAGCAATGTTCATTCAGCTTTGACATTCTGGGGTTTTTTTGTAGGAGAATGAAGAGGAACCCTCAAATCCATTTGCAGTTCTGTGCTAGAGTGGACTATTTCACATCATCAAAAAGCAAATATTTATGTCAGTAAGGCAGATTGTGCCTTAAAATAAATATATTGTGCCTTAAAATAAATACATTGGCCAAGTTCAGTTCAACATGCTGAAAATGTGTCATTAAAATTGCAAGCCATAGGGAACCTCTAAGAGGAGACTAGCATACTGTTTTGTACAAAATAATTTAGCATGTTCTTTCAGTTCCTTTTGGTTTGAAAGGTTCTGCTTGATAATCTGAAATTTAAGAACAAGAAATTTAAATGCAGCATATTTTTTCTGTCATTAAAAAATACTGGACTTTGAAGAGTACTGAGGTCTGGGGTTTTTTTAGATGTTAAGCAGTTTCAACTTGTCTCCAGTAATTATTTAGAGATACAGCTCTTTGTTTAAATGGACTAAGTAATTAACTTCAAATAAAAGCATACATTTACAAAAATTACACTTTTAGAAGAATATATATGACAGACTGGAAGTGTACATTAATGTACTTTAGAGCTATCTGAAAGGCAACAGTCTAATTTCACAATTATCTATATAGTTTAAAAAAATTTTTTTGGTACCAGGCAGAAAAAAATGCTATTGAGTCATGCTGCTGGAAGTGGAATCTGTCAAAATACCAGTTTAGATCAAAACCAGGCCTGTTTGGTCATCAAGATTAAAAAAACTGGCCTGAAACGTGAGAAGATGCAAGCTCAAGATGCTGATCAGCAAGGAGAATAGTCTATTGCCACAAACCACTGAAAATTAATAAAGATGAGGATTTGAACCAGGATTACCATCCCCCCAATTAGTGTGTGACCACCAGCTAAGGACTGTTTGAATCTGCTTCCATTACTTTCTGCTGAAACAGCACAATGGTTAATATATATGAAACAAAATCATTTTGTCAAGGCTTGTGTTCCTGTTTTGCTCTTTAATAAGTGAGTTTTACCTAACATGGGAAAATGCAAAATAACAGTGAAACAGATTTCTCAAGCCTATGCTTGACCTTTGGAGGAACCATGGAATTATTAGCCCAACACTGGAAATAAATTCAGTCTGAAATGATGTTACTACTTAAAATAATTTTCACTTCCAAAATGCTAACATAGCACTTTGGTAGCCTTACTCAAGTGAATACTGTTAAACTGCAAACTAGGTTTGTTAAGCATCCGATTGAAATCAACATTTTGTTTCAGACTCTCTTTACAAAAAGTAGTGCTGTTTTTAGCATCATCATCATATGGAAATTAATTACAGGTTTAAGTTTACAGGCTCTAATGCAACATAAACAGTGAATATATTGTTACTATTCTTAGCACAGTGCCTGGTTATTTTAGGGGGTAGGGTTTGCTCAAGTAAGGTTGTTTGCCTCCCCAAGTCATTCGTAGATACATCAGAGAACTTAACATTCTAGTGACTTCAAATGTGTAAAATGCCCCATTTTTCCCACTTTCTTTCTGCCTCTGGTCTCGCGTTTTCCACTTTAGTTACGTTTTGGATTTTTTTTTCTGGTGGAATAACTATTCCTTTTTCAACCAAAAGTGTATTCCAACATCATCAAGATTTGGTTTTTTGGTATACAGTTAGTTTAAGCCACTTATACTGTTCTGTTAAACACTTGATTTCTTCCTGTCTTGCCTTTTTTTAGGGTAAACAAGGCAAACATGTCCTCTATGGCTGCAGTGAACTTTTTAATGCTACACAGTTTATAAAACAGGTTGGTACTTTTAATAACCTCTGTAATATTTATTACTTCTGTAACTGTGTGTTCACTTATTTGCCCTTACACCTCTCTCTGCATTTTACAAAAAAATCAAACTCATTTGTGAAAGATTAATACACGTTCTTGTTATCTATTTTCACTCAATTGAAATGGACACTGTATTGTTAGTGTTAGTTCACAGGTTACACAGGTAATCAAGTTCTTCATAAGTGCTTTTACATAAGTCCTGATGAAAACAATCACTCAGTTCTTGATATTTTCACAAATAGCATGTCTTCCCAGGCTATTCTAGCAATTTCTGCAAGTTAAAAACTGCTATTCACAACAGTGATCTTTAAAAATTTGTATTAAATTTTGCTATTTATAAATACTGGCCTAGTGGAGGCTTGATGTTGTCCATACCTATACTAAAATCAGTTTTTTAGTGCTGTTAAAAACATTATCATCGCCATTACTTCTCTATGTCTCCATCCAATACAGATGCAAAATAAAAATTATTCACGGAAATCAGCAAATAGCAGCCATTCAGTAGCTGTCACCACCAATGGTTTTACTTTCTACTAAGATGAGAATAAATTTGTTATTCAAAACTACATTTTTAAGAACTAAATTAATTCTTGCTGCACTTGAAGGACACAAATGGTACCTACCAGCTTATAACTCTTAAGTCAGCTTACTGCACTTTTTTGTTGACTTGACTGTGTATGCTTCACCTTTACCTCTGAGATTTATTCAGATCTTATGATTTGAAGCTCCATTAAATATTCTATTACCATCATACTTCTGGTTGCAAGACAGAAATATTTACTGTGTGAATTGGATATTAGTTTGACTGAAAGAATAAGATTAGCAACTTAATAGTTTTCTGTCTCTTCATGTTTAGCTCTCCCTACTTGGCCAGAAATAAGACTGAAACACCATTACCTGGATGGCAGTGTGACAACAGAGAATTATTACAACATTCAGATATCTTCGTATCTATAGTTTTGTCATCATATTAAAACTTAAACCCATTTCATTAATATGATAACCTTTAAAAAAGATCTGTAATTACTATGGTGTATATCAACATTTCAGAAATAAACCTTAAAACCTGCTATATTTTTGGTGGGGGTCAGTTTCACATTATTACATTCTAAATTCAGAATTAGCCTACGGTATATGACAGAGCTGGCTGAAAAGCATAGCATTTTCAAGTGCTTGTATATAGTTTCTGTTACAGTAAACAAAGCAGTAGCTTGAAGAAAAGGTCGAGTCTGTCTTTAGGAGATGTGTTCTTCCTGAAAGCCAGATTATCTTTATTTAACAGAAATGAAAAGGACAAAACTGCCTTTTAGAACCACAGACAAACAGCCTCAGTGCAAGACAACTACTACTTCTAGTAGTAGTTATTTTATTTTTATTTTACCTTTTCTTTTATCCTTTATTTTACCAAAATCATTATATTTGTACTTAAATTTGTGCAGTCTTTGCTTGATGGTCCAAAGATGTACTTGAAGATACCTTCAGTACAAGTTTCTGATACAGTAATTTAGCTTTTCTCTTAAGGTTAAGAGAAAATTCCTTTCTTACAGAGTCACAAACGGTGAAACATTTAATAATTTTCTTCTGTACTTTTTATTGTAACTGCTTTTGCTGTTATGTTTGAGAAAAAGCCAAGTCATGCTCACAAAACAGCTTTTAACTGTTTTATAAGCGCATATGTAAAGTAGAGTTTTTACCAATTGCATTAGGTAGGGGTAGTTCAGTATTTTAAAGAATCTCATGATAGAATTAAGTTTTGCCATTAATGACATCTCTGGAGAGTGTGTATGGGAATTGAGAGAATGTAACAAAATTTCTTTATAGATATATGTCTCTAGAAATGTCCTCTCTGGAAATAGCACTGCTACTGGTGAAGGAATAATATGTCTTCAAAAGGAGGCCTAACATACTCAAAAAGTAAGAAGAAAACACTTGTGGGTTTATTAACAAACTGTGAGATTGTAAGAATTACTGGCTTACTGTAAATTTTTTCAACAGTGTTTCTTGCACTATTCTTCAATGTTGAATGTTAATTTTGCTCTGAAAACAATACTTTTTCCCCAGCTAGATTTTTTTCAGAACATCTAAACAAGAAATGCAGTTGATCTATTCTTTAGAAGTAACACGGTCTAGATTATACATATTTATATTATCATATTATTTAATTAGCTGAATGTTGTAAGCTACTCCACACTACTACTATAAAACTTCTAACCTTACAAAGTCAATAAATACATTTATTGCCCTGTTAATTGCAGTTTTTGTAAGTGAGCAAAAACTGAGCATTTTGTAAGTGACCAAAAACGCTTCCATACTCATCAGCAAGGACTCAGTGTGTCAAATGGAGTTTGTTATTCCAATTCCCTACATATACTATATTTGTTACTAAAACAAGGTCAAAGTGCATTTGGAAAAGAAAATTACATTTAAGGTGTTTATTGCTTCCTGTGGAAGTTCATTTTAGGAGCTTGAAATAATCCATCCCCAAGAAAACTGTGCTTCCTGTGCAGTTTTAACCTTGCAACTGATAACCAACTTCTGAAAAATCTGCTGACTGCTTTTTGTCCAGACCTTGTGGCAGCCTGTGCTATGATGGACCCTGCTCAGTTAAACCAGGAGCACTCCTAAATCACAGCTTACAGAATTTGCTGTTTCAGTAAACTCTGGGAAGATATCAGAAATTACTTTGGTGGATGTGTTCAAAAACGTAGTTTTCAGCCTTCATGCTGCCCCTGGAGACAGGTTTCATTTGTGCCCAGCTTTATAGCTGGATCTTCAGGTCTGTTGTGTGAGTATGCACTGGTCAACATGGGATTTGATTTTTTAAAAAATGAATAAATACAATTTCAGTACTTCAAACATTCTTCTCTTTCCTCTCCAAACTAGCTTTCTGGATCTGTTGCATTAGTAGTCCTAAAGCTCTCTGTTACCATTAAAATCTTAGATTTACCACTCTGTAACAACCCAAGTTACAGCGTGCTGGTTTTTATTATGTGGCCCTTTCCCTCAATATTTCCTGGGAAATTAGGGATGGAGAAGGTTGTACATGAAGCCTCCATAGTTATTCTAGAAGCAAGCAATGTTAAAAGTAAGCTGGCTCATCAGCAAGTTTATTCAAGTTTATAGCCAGTCACCATACCCTTCAGATCCTCAAAGGTCTGTGCTTAAAGGAGAGGTTATGCCTGGCTCAGCAAGTCTTTTAAGTAAAATAGTACCAGCAGCGTTCATGTTGCTAGTAAATATTTTAAGCGACTGCATGGAGGACCAGGGAGTTTTGGAACTTGTCTAGCCTCTTCTTTGTTAATTAATCTTGGGCAGGGCTGGCTGGCAGGGCAGTGCCAATGGCAGCACCAGCCTCCAGTACAAAATTATCACAACTGTGTTCTTCAGATCTGAAATAAAAGGTGTTGAGCCAAAACAACCTCCTATCCTTTGTTTACTGACAGTGGGGAGACCTACTCTCTCTCTTTGGGTTGGATGATCCGTTAGTTGCTACGCATTGCTGACAGAGGGCTCTGGCTCATGGAAAGTCAAGCTTGGTCAGTGTTCTAGTGTAACAGAAGAATTAGCCACAGTAGCAATGGTTTCTCCATAACTTCAGAGATCAGAGAAAACGTTAATAATTTTCTTGCAGTGACTTCGTGGATGATTTGGCCCACTTCTGTTTTGTTCAGAAACAGTTTAGTGACCCTACTCTGTGTAGAAATTGCAGTCATTTTCAGCAACATTCAAATATATTCTGCTTTTTCATGTGGTCACATATCACTGAGATACAAATTACCTCCTTCAAAGGCATTGAAAAATCTGCATATTTAATCTACCTATGTATCATTTTTTTCTAAAATTATAAACCCTTAGGTAGCTCACTTGCACAAGAATTTGAAATTCTAATGATAAAATTTGTAGCTTTCCCTTTATCTTCCAGTGTCTTTCCCCTTCTGAAAACCAAGCAGGACCAAATTTTACATTTTTTTAAAATGTTGTATTTAACTTATCCCAGCTCCTTCTCGTAATTGCAGAGGGTGGCTGTCTTGGTTTGGCAATGGAGGACTGATCTTTATTCTGTGAAACCAGTCACATCCCCAAAAGCTTCAGGACTCTCAGTCCTGCATCCTACTTCACATCTTCCCATCTTGTGCATTCCTGGTTTTGGCAATCTAAGGAGTAGATCATATGCATAATGCTTTTAAAGAAAGTTGCTTCTTATTATTTCAAAATGGACATGCAATGTAACCATTATTTACTGCTCCAAATTGTTATTTGTATTATGTATGTATTATGAAAATAAATAGAGGAAAATTAACCTGCAAGAAAAAGAAGTGCCAGAGAGGTGGGTAGCTTCCCTTCACAAAAATCAGTGTGGATTTGTTCCATATTTGCTGGAAGGTTTTATTTTAGAATTAATAGTAATAACCTGATATGAATGCAATTCTCCATAGTGTTTCTTATAGCTGAAACCATTTGCCCTCCTTTTTCTGCTTCCCCCAAATAAATGTATATCTTCCCTCTATATAGGTTTTGAAATTATACTGAATATTTAGTTTTAACAAATAATGGGATTACTTCTACTTCATTTTGGGCGGTAAATTTACACAGGTCAGCTCAAATACTTTTTTTTTTGTAGTGGACTTAAATGAGCTGTTTAATTTACTCCCTGAAATGAACTAGGGCCGTTTGTACATTCAGCTACAGTTGCAAAGCTGTCTTGGTTCTTACTGCATCTCTAACAAGGAGAATAATTGCAACACCTTATACTTGAATGACCCTAGAAGCTCTTCTCTGAAATGTTTATGACAATGCAAGTATAGCACTAAATTGATTTAAAAACAGAGTCCAGGCTTTCATTCTGATACATGCTTCTCAAACAACTTTTTAAACCATAAATCAACACAATC